CCCCCCCCCCGGGTGAGCTCTTGGGCTCTTCCGAGGGAGAAGAGCCGTTCGCCGGCTTTCTTTTGATCACGACATTCCGAATGTTGACATTCCAACGTGCGACCCTCAGCCTCACAAACAATTTCAGCTGGGCCTGCGCAGTACGGATTGGAAGACAACTAATAAGACCTTTTCTGAAAAGTGTGGCACGATAGAAGCGAAGATTGAAGGCGAAGGCGATTGTTTTTTTTGAGTCAATGAATACGCGAAGCATAATGAATGACTTTGGTTCAAAGCTCAGATTTCATCGATAATCTACGTGTCGTGTTGCGTTACTTGGACAGTTGCGTTTCCGACAATTTGACTGTCACTCTGTTTTATCAAATATAAATAATGAGAATCTTATATTCGAAATAAACTGCATCTTATTAAAACCTTATTCAACCTGTGCACAGACGTCCCCCCTCCCTCAGAAAAAATCGTCATTTCTCCCGATTTTTTTTCTGAGTGAGGGGGGACGTGTGTAATTATTTCTGTATAAACTTTAGCCTGCGAAAACATCCGTTTCTCCTCGCTCTTCGTCGATGGGGACGTTTCGCGCGGAACGTCCCCGGCGGCGAAGAGCGGGGAGAAAGGGATGTTTTCGCAGGCTACATAAACTTCACCCTTCAAATGAAAACTAGTCATACATGACGTACCGGCGCGGCAACGAAATTGACCGCGAGGAGACTGAGAACACACTCGTCCAAAATGGCTTCTTTCACAACAAGTGTTATTTCTCGAGCTAACGCTTTAGCTCTTCAAGGTTACAAGCATTGTTGTCACGTTATGCTACACTGTCCAGTGGAGGAAAAGCTGTTTGGTTTTTATCCTGTCAAACATGCAGTCCTGGTAAGTACAGTATATACCCGTAAACTCGGGTGATATATATATTTTTAATTTGCCTGCCGGTTACTAAAGGGGCCGGCTACCTATTTCTTGTGTGTCTTGCCTTTATTAGAAAGGGAAGTTGAATATGTACCTTAGATTTTATCGATAAATTGTAGGGTCAATACAATTTTTACCATGATATGCAATATAATGACTCCGTTTCTTACTCTCTCGATCTCGTCTGAATCGCAAGAGTGGCCCTAAGAAAATTAATTCAACTCATTTCTTGATGCTGGGACGTAAGACCCCTGGTGGCTTTTTATCTTCAGTTTGACTTCATCGTGCCTATTATAGAACAATATTAAGAATGTGGCGATTTCATTATTTTCAGTGCATTACATGTAGTGTCATGCTTAACATGCCTTGACATTGTGTAATGTGGTGCGTTGTGCACAATTTCTTATTCTCTCCTTTATCGAAAAAAAAAAAAAACAAAGTAAAAAGGATAGGCAATAAAGCAGTTATAATCATTAAAATTGCTGTTTAAGAGGAATTTCCATGAGTAACCAGGATGAGTATAAAATAACATAATCAGATTATCTTTAAGAACAAAGTTGGTTTCTCATGATCACCTCATGGCCAGTCTCCTCCTAACCTCATAGTTTCTACTGTAAAGTACATTCTTCAGAGACTCTTATGGGTATATGGGCAATGAATCTACTACACAGATTTAGCAATGCTAAGCAGCTTTGTTGTGCGTTAGAAGTCAGAACATTTTTCCTGATAATTCTGCACTGCATAACAATCATGGCTATTTTATTATCAATCACACCCTTATTAAACAGCCAAATTTCAAATAAACACTTCGAACTTGCTAGGGACATATTCAAAACCAATATATTATCTGCCATCGATTCCTAATGACCACACTTAGTTACCAGAGGAAAATCAATCGTTCACTATGCTGCGAAATTACTGGAAAACACTGCTGAGTCCAAAGATAGGCAAAACTAATTTTCCCTCAAAAAACACAGCAACACGATTATATGGGTGTCCTATCTATGTTTTTAAAAATGACGCGGTGAATATGGTAATCTCAATAAGTTATCGTCTCTTAACTGGTGCTAATAGGACAACAGAGTGTACATTAAATTGATTCAGACAATTGGTGACAAAATGAGTTGAGACACTTTGCCCTAAACTGGGCTTTTTTACGTTTTAGTGACTTCAAAAGGAGGAAATATAGGTTTTCCTCCCCCATTCTCTCCATGCAATGTTGTGCCGATGTTCGAGCTACCTATAGAAAACAACAAACACCCCAACTTCGAATGGAGGGGATAAGGGAGGGGTGTGGATTCTTTTGTTCTCTGAGGTTGCCCTATTTGAGTACAATGTCTCAACAATTTTGTTGCCGATTTTAGGGTGTCCACTTATATTATATGACCACTTCTTCTGTATAGTGTAAGCTTAACTAAATATGCATTTTCTATGCTTGGCTGTCGCAGCACCTGGTGGCCCCTTTTGTCTTACTTTTGCTCATGGGTGACTAGAAAATCTTAGTCTTTTTAAAGAAATCCTTTGCCAGGCATCCACTGCCTCCCCTCAGTTTTTTTTTAAGAGCACAGCCTTGAATTCTGTTCCCCCTTAGGTTCAATTTTGTGGGCAGCCATAGATACTATTATCTTGATAAAGTGGCTAGCCCTAGTTAAGGGCTTCATTTAGGTTTTGCAGGTGTATCCTCTTTTTATTGGTTCTACTCTATCAAAGTTTTTGGTGTGTGTAACCTTGACTAACGGACACCTCCAGGGTGCCAAGAAAGTTAGTTCTACAGCTGCCATTCAGGCAAGCTGTAGCTAGCACATTCTAGCCCAAAAGTCATTTCATCTAGCCCCAAAAACTTTTTGATTGGCAGGATTGATTACACAGTTCTTCTATAATTTGAATTCCTCAAAAACTTCACTTGACTATAAGGCAAGTTACAGTAAGAACAAAATTCAGCAGCCCGATATCAAAATCCACTAGCCCCGGGCTATCGGACGTACTTTCTTTGCACGCTGACCTCTATAAGACCGACACCTAAGTAAAACAGACACCCTTAGTTGGTCCTCGCCTTTTTTCCTCCTTTTATTGACTCTCTATAAGATGGACATTACTCTAAGATGGACACTTAGGGATGGTCCAGAAGGTGTCTGTCTTGGAGAAAGTTGATTGTATGCAATTTCCATAGATGCAACTTCGTTTTGATGGCTGCTTTGGTTTTCCTGGTGGATTTGTTGATGAAGGGGAAGATTTGGAGACAGCAATAAACAGAGAGGTTGTTGAAGAGCTTGGGAAAACTGTAGAACCAGTGAACATTGAAAAAGACAACTATGTTATTTCTCATTTATACGAGGAAAATGTTCCTGAATTGAACTTGACAAAGAAACTTTGCCTGCACTTCTTTGCAAAGAAGGTTCCCCTGGCACAGTTCCTTGAACTTGAAAAAAGGAACCCCGATGCCCCCGACCTTGGATATGAGGTAAGACTGCCATTAGTAGTCAAGTACATGTAGTTTCAGCCATGGGTGAGGAGATGGTTGGGGGTGGGGTACTCTCCCAATAGTTGGGTAAAAGTTAGCCATTGAAGGTTTGAAACCCTGACCCTGTTTGAGACAAACAAATACTAAAATGCATACCCTGTTAAGGACAACATCCTCAATTTTATTAACCTGTTCAGGACAAAGGACAAAATGCACACCGTCTTGTTTTAAGTCATTTATTGGCAAATACAATTGCTTTTGTATACTTGGAGCACAAACAAATTTCATCAAGCAAATCAAATCAATCATGTAGGCAATACCCTGTCCATAATTAAGAACAAAATAATAAACGCTGTTTAGGACAGAGAGGAGAAAAACCATACCCTGTCCAGTGACACATCCCCGTATAGGCCATATGCAGCTGTAAGGATGTACCATCTACCCCAGGGAGATGGTTTGTTACTGTCATAATTAAGTCATCTAATAATAATGGATAATAAAAAAATACAGAGGCTTGTGGTCCAGGGCGGAGGTTACTTGGGTTAATTTTTGCTTGGCATGTGCCACTGGTCTTGCAGAATCCCTACCCCTACCCCTACCCCATTATAGCCTACACTTTATTCTGTGGCCAAATGTAGACCCCATCTTAGTCACTTCTGGGAAAATGTAATTTTCGCGATCCCAACTTAGTAATTTTCAGCTCATGCATCTACTTTATAAAGCCTTTTAACTAGGTCATCCTGAGATAAATTGACACATTCGTTAAACTTAATGACCTACCTGAATTTTCTGAGGCTCCATTATTGCCAATCCAGCCGTGAAAATGCACCCCCATCCAGCAGCACATCCCCATTAGCCTATTACTAGGAAGTATCCCACCGGGTTGTGATCCCAATATTGTCTCAATATTATCTCAATTTTTTTTGGTTGAGAGCTGTTGTTGAGATCGTTTGTGGGATGTTGTGGAGAGTTTATACCCGTTTGAATCTCTTCTCCTCAACGTTACGACATTTGTTTGCTGTAAAGTGATTACTTAATGCCTTTTCGTATGCACAAAATGCTCCTGTAGAGTAATGAAGAACTTATCATAGAAATTTCAACAGGGAGCACTTAACATTATAACTTGAAAAAACTGGGTTTCAGCCCATGTTCATCCTTGCCACCCGTTTACAAACAGTTTTTATGCCTAACTCTATAGCCTTAAATAACATAACTGGACGATTATTGGAATTCCATTGATGCGAAGATACTCTTTAGCTTTGTAAAAACTGAGAGAGCAAATAGCGTGACATACATGGAGCCTATTTAATCTTCCTAATGCGTGGGCTTCACTTGACTCTTTCTAGGTCCTTGGTGTTATTCGGTGTCCACTCTATATCATGCGCGACAAAAAGGGTGGCTTTCCGTCATTTTTAAGAAACAAGTTCGTGGGAAATTCCAGAGAGCAGTTGCTTATCGGATTAGAGCACGCGAACGTGTTAACCCAACAGGAAATCAGGGAGGCCGTCCATTTGTCACAATTAATTCCAGAGATCACGCCTAAACTCTGACGGGTTACTTGTGACATGGAGGTCAAGTTATGCGGAGCTAATCTTGTGTGTGTCGGTGTGTGATTTGGAAGAGCAGTAGAACTTGAAATAATTATTACTGCTTGGGTACTCGCGATAAACTGTGGTTTCCGCGCGCACGACCCACTTGTGAATTAGTCGTACGTCTTCGGCAGTGGTCGGAAGTGTTCGCGGACGGCTTGGGTTTCACATCAGTACTGGTGGAAGTCAAGCTATGCAGAGGTAGTCGCGTGTGTATGTGGGTGGCTCCACAAGTTTCTAAATTGAGGGAAAAGGAAGAACAGCGGGTTATAAATATCTGCGTGGGTGCTTGTGATAAACTGTGGTTTCTGTACAATTCACTCGTGAATTAGTCGTATGTCTTCGGCGGTGGTCGGAAGTGTTCGCGGATGGCCTTGGATTTCGCATTAGCATACTGATGGAAGTCAAGCTATGCAGAACTAATCTCGTATGTGAGTGGGTGACTCTACAAGTTTCTAAATCGAGGATAAAGGAAGAACAGTGGATTATAAATATCTGCGTGGTTGCTTGTGATAAACTGTGGTTTCCGTATCACTGATTGTGCAGTAGTCGTATTTCCTGGGCAGCGATCGATAGTCTTCGTGGGCAGCTTGGATTTCACATTAGTAATTTTGGATGGCACGTATGTTGGGCAACTCTTTGTGTTGTCCTTTCAAAAAACCTTTTTACTCACGTGGGAAATGTGCCAACTTAGTGTATTATGTAAGCACGGCTAAGATAAGAACTACGCGTGGTCTCATTACGCACCTTGTGATTATGAGGACCCAGTCTCGATGGCCCCAACGTACTAAATATAGTGGAACCTCGATTTAACGAACTTTCATGTAACCGGCGAAGTCCTCGGTATAACGAACGATATTCCTAGGCCCAGTAATAGTAAAATATGTGGAAAAGAACCTCGATATAACGAAACCTCGTTACAGCTTAATATATTTTGTCAATCCCTTGGCCCTTTGTTTTATCGAGGTTCCACTGTAGTCCTGTTTCAAGTCGTAGGCTTTAACCACGAAATGGGCTTGCAGAACAATTTATCCCTGTTAGTCTCTTACCACACTAGAAACGTAACCAACAACCAGTTTCCCTTTTAGAAGGCTAAGTAGATTTTTTTTAAATTAAATTTTATCTCCAGTTCATTCCTGAAATTGTTAGTTTTTTTTTTTTCTTTTTGAAAGATCCGTACACTTTTGTGCCATTTTCATTGACCCCTGTTAAGGTATGGTGTGTGAATTAAGTGTGAAAGACACGTAGCACTCGTAAATGGAGAGCAACGTTTTAAAATGTGAATTGTGTTTTGTGAGTGCCAAGAAGTGAGAGAAGTCAAAGTGAGAGAAAGTAGAAATCCAAAACTGAAAATTTTTGATGCCGGCGAAGACGACAGCGTGGATAAGGTAGATGTACCTGCGCTCTAATTGGCGCGGGGGGTGGAGGCAGGGTCAGTGAGCGGGGCCCCTACGCGTCTCCCTTACCTTGCATTCCCGGCTCCCACCCCATTTTTCTTGGTTTCCTCCCTTAAGCCCTTTTTCGAATGCAAATTATTAAGCATTGTTGCATGATTAGTGTCTGTCTTGGAGAAAGTTGATTGTATGCAATTTCCATAGATGCAACTTCGTTTTGATGGCTGCTTTGGTTTTCCTGGTGGATTTGTTGATGAAGGGGAAGATTTGGAGACAGCAATAAACAGAGAGGTTGTTGAAGAGCTTGGGAAAACTGTAGAACCAGTGAACATTGAAAAAGACAACTATGTTATTTCTCATTTATACGAGGAAAATGTTCCTGAATTGAACTTGACAAAGAAACTTTGCCTGCACTTCTTTGCAAAGAAGGTTCCCCTGGCACAGTTCCTTGAACTTGAAAAAAGGAACCCCGATGCCCCCGACCTTGGATATGAGGTAAGACTGCCATTAGTAGTCAAGTACATGTAGTTTCAGCCATGGGTGAGGAGATGGTTGGGGGTGGGGTACTCTCCCAATAGTTGGGTAAAAGTTAGCCATTGAAGGTTTGAAACCCTGACCCTGTTTGAGACAAACAAATACTAAAATGCATACCCTGTTAAGGACAACATCCTCAATTTTATTAACCTGTTCAGGACAAAGGACAAAATGCACACCGTCTTGTTTTAAGTCATTTATTGGCAAATACAATTGCTTTTGTATACTTGGAGCACAAACAAATTTCATCAAGCAAATCAAATCAATCATGTAGGCAATACCCTGTCCATAATTAAGAACAAAATAATAAACGCTGTTTAGGACAGAGAGGAGAAAAACCATACCCTGTCCAGTGACACATCCCCGTATAGGCCATATGCAGCTGTAAGGATGTACCATCTACCCCAGGGAGATGGTTTGTTACTGTCATAATTAAGTCATCTAATAATAATGGATAATAAAAAAATACAGAGGCTTGTGGTCCAGGGCGGAGGTTACTTGGGTTAATTTTTGCTTGGCATGTGCCACTGGTCTTGCAGAATCCCTACCCCTACCCCTACCCCATTATAGCCTACACTTTATTCTGTGGCCAAATGTAGACCCCATCTTAGTCACTTCTGGGAAAATGTAATTTTCGCGATCCCAACTTAGTAATTTTCAGCTCATGCATCTACTTTATAAAGCCTTTTAACTAGGTCATCCTGAGATAAATTGACACATTCGTTAAACTTAATGACCTACCTGAATTTTCTGAGGCTCCATTATTGCCAATCCAGCCGTGAAAATGCACCCCCATCCAGCAGCACATCCCCATTAGCCTATTACTAGGAAGTATCCCACCGGGTTGTGATCCCAATATTGTCTCAATATTATCTCAATTTTTTTTGGTTGAGAGCTGTTGTTGAGATCGTTTGTGGGATGTTGTGGAGAGTTTATACCCGTTTGAATCTCTTCTCCTCAACGTTACGACATTTGTTTGCTGTAAAGTGATTACTTAATGCCTTTTCGTATGCACAAAATGCTCCTGTAGAGTAATGAAGAACTTATCATAGAAATTTCAACAGGGAGCACTTAACATTATAACTTGAAAAAACTGGGTTTCAGCCCATGTTCATCCTTGCCACCCGTTTACAAACAGTTTTTATGCCTAACTCTATAGCCTTAAATAACATAACTGGACGATTATTGGAATTCCATTGATGCGAAGATACTCTTTAGCTTTGTAAAAACTGAGAGAGCAAATAGCGTGACATACATGGAGCCTATTTAATCTTCCTAATGCGTGGGCTTCACTTGACTCTTTCTAGGTCCTTGGTGTTATTCGGTGTCCACTCTATATCATGCGCGACAAAAAGGGTGGCTTTCCGTCATTTTTAAGAAACAAGTTCGTGGGAAATTCCAGAGAGCAGTTGCTTATCGGATTAGAGCACGCGAACGTGTTAACCCAACAGGAAATCAGGGAGGCCGTCCATTTGTCACAATTAATTCCAGAGATCACGCCTAAACTCTGACGGGTTACTTGTGACATGGAGGTCAAGTTATGCGGAGCTAATCTTGTGTGTGTCGGTGTGTGATTTGGAAGAGCAGTAGAACTTGAAATAATTATTACTGCTTGGGTACTCGCGATAAACTGTGGTTTCCGCGCGCACGACCCACTTGTGAATTAGTCGTACGTCTTCGGCAGTGGTCGGAAGTGTTCGCGGACGGCTTGGGTTTCACATCAGTACTGGTGGAAGTCAAGCTATGCAGAGGTAGTCGCGTGTGTATGTGGGTGGCTCCACAAGTTTCTAAATTGAGGGAAAAGGAAGAACAGCGGGTTATAAATATCTGCGTGGGTGCTTGTGATAAACTGTGGTTTCTGTACAATTCACTCGTGAATTAGTCGTATGTCTTCGGCGGTGGTCGGAAGTGTTCGCGGATGGCCTTGGATTTCGCATTAGCATACTGATGGAAGTCAAGCTATGCAGAACTAATCTCGTATGTGAGTGGGTGACTCTACAAGTTTCTAAATCGAGGATAAAGGAAGAACAGTGGATTATAAATATCTGCGTGGTTGCTTGTGATAAACTGTGGTTTCCGTATCACTGATTGTGCAGTAGTCGTATTTCCTGGGCAGCGATCGATAGTCTTCGTGGGCAGCTTGGATTTCACATTAGTAATTTTGGATGGCACGTATGTTGGGCAACTCTTTGTGTTGACCTTTCAAAAAACCTTTTTACTCGCGTGGGAAATGTGCCAACTTAGTGTATTATGTAAGCACGGCTAAGATAAGAACTACGCGTGGTCTCATTACACACCTTGTGATTATGAGGACCCAGTCTCGAAGGCCCCAGCGTACTAAATATAGTGGAACCTCGATTTAACGAACTTTTATGTAACGAAGTCCTCGGTATAATATTCCTAGGCCCAATAACAGTAAAATATGTGGAAAAGAACCTCGATGTAACGAAACCTCGTTACAGCTTTGTCAGTCCCCTTGCCCTTCGTTATATCAAGGTTCCACTGTAGTCGTGTTTCAAGTCGTACGCTTTAACCACGAAATGTGCTTGCAGAACATTTTACCCCTGTAACTCTCCTACCACGCTAGGAACCTAACCAACAACCAGTTTGCCTTGTAGAAGGTTAAGTAGTTTTTTTTAAATTAAATTTTATCTCCAGTTCATTCCTGAAATTGTTAGTTTTTTTTTTCTTTTTGAAAGATCCGTACACTTTTGTGCCATTTTCATTGACCCCTGTTAAGGTATGGTGTGTGAATTAAGTGTGAAAGACACGTAGCACTCGTAAATGGAGTGCAACGTTTTAAAATGTGAATTGTGTTTTGTGAGTGCCAAGAAGTGAGAGAAGTCAAAGTGAGAGAAAGTAGAAATCCAAAACTGAAAATTTTTTATTTGCCGGCGAAGACGACAGCGTGGATAAGGTAGATCTACCTGCGCTCAAATTGGCGCAGGGGGTGGAGGCAGGGTCAGTGAGTGGGGCCCCTACGCGCTTCCCTTACCTTGCATTCCCGGCTCCCACCCCATTTTTCGTGGTTTCCTCCCTTAAGCCCTTTTTCGAGTGCAAATTATTAAGCATTGTTGCATGATTTCTCCCACTTCCCGCCCTTTCCTCTCCTGCCTCCCATACTCCCCAGACCGGCGCCCTATTCTCCCGGGTTTCCACCCCCTGTCCTCCCTCACTAAATGGCCGAGCTACGAGACCAACAGGGAACAGGTGATGAGCGTTAGAGGCGATTGCAGAGCTTATTTTTCACTTTGTGCAATGGTTACGCCATATATTTAGAGACACCGTGGCGATCACAGCAGCACTTTGCATTTGCCAGCATGCATTATATAATCTGTACATTTACACGCTCGATTCTAACGCCTCGTGCACGACAAAATCTCCGTTTCGCGCTCCGCTAAATAACTCCTTACGATGCAGGCTAAAATATCAAGATATTTCATCTTAAGTCATTGTGTTCTTTATTCTTAAAACATTCTCCGTTTATTAAGCAATGATATAATAAGGAGAAATTAGATTCTGATCACGCTAAAGGCACAGAGGGTCAGTAAATGAACCACCTAAATTATTACTGGGGAAGGAAACTGAAGTGTTCCATATTTTTTCTTTAAAGACATATTTAAAAAATTGCACCTTTTCTTAAAAAAGAGTTCCACCTTTCTTCCGATTTACTAGAGGTGCTTTTTAATGTTAAATTTTAAATTGTATTGGTCAAGTGGACCTTATCAACGAGTTTAACTTGGTAGTCTATTTTATAGAGATTTTATATTCGTGTTTTCGTGTCAATCGAGTGAGTTAGACACTTCCTACTGGAACCTATATAAGACTACACAAGATAATGAGGTGTTTCTTTTACGCGAGGTCGTATTATTGAACATAAAGAATATCCTCTTGCATGTTTAATTAACTTATGTTACGGGGTGTAGACAAATTACCATCTCGAAAACTGATGAGATAGTAAACTATGTCTGTTTAATTAATTGCTAATCCATATGCAGGAGGACAATAAAAATGAAATGAAAGCAGTGAATTAATAACCCAGATGTTGCGTTGAAGCCAGGAAAAAAAATTAACCTGAGATTCCTACGCTAAACCTGCGGCTTGATCAGGTTATTGACATTCGCTAAACCCTTGTTCTTAATTGTGAAATTACTGTTTTCTCAAAGAATTTTGAATTTTTCTCATCTAGGCAATTTTCCTTATTGTTTTTGCATCCTTAACGCCATATTTAGGTTTGATTAAATATTTAAAAGTTTTTTTAAGTGCGTTATAATCTGGAGACATAGTTCCGAAGCAACGGCCAGTTGTTTATCTAAGATTCTTTTATTATTTTTCTAGATATCACTCTAGGCAAACAACCTTGGACTCGCAGCCATATCTCAAGATCAAAATCTAAAGAATGTCATGCAACTTCGGTACCCCGCCCGAACCTCTCCAGTTTCTTTCCTTAACGGATAGTTTTATTTCATTACTTTTAAAGCTAATAAAACCTTGATCTTGAATGCAAACACGGCAAACATAAAACAGTTTTCCGGGTCCTGTAATTAACGGTCCCCTGCTCTCAAAAATTGATCGAAATTTCGATAAATCCGTTGTTTGTGGACTGTTAGAAAAGCATGAAAGAAGAAAGAAAATCTTTGCCAACCCGAGTTAACCTTTGGCGTCGATGTGCTCAATATTAATAGACTGATACTTTTAACACTGAATTAACACTTCCGTTTTTTTTGGCAGTGTAGTCACACTCTCTCTAAGACGTACACCTTGGGACCGGCAGTAAGTGTCCGTCTTAGAGAGATGTCTGTCTTATAGACAGTTATCTAAAAGAGGTGAAAAAAGGAAGGGACCAATTTTAAATACAGGTGTCCGTCTTCTAGAGGAGTCCGTTAAGAGAGAGAGAGAGAGAGAGGGAGAGGGAGAGAAAGAGAGAGAGATGACTTTATATCGTAGGAAGGGTAAGTTAACCTTTACCCTATCAGGGATTTGTCGCCGGTATTGCATAACTCCATTTGCCAGCTCGCAGAAACATTTCACCGCGTGGGTACTTTAACTTTTTAATGAGAAAACCATATTTACTTATAAGCACTGACTGAGGTCTGGGTGGAGAAATGCCAAGTCTGTGAAAGGGGTGTCTGAAAGGCTGGGCGTGTTCTTGGCACACATTCTTGGATTTACCTGTCACAACAACGTGCGTTGCCTTTCCTCATCTCAATGCACATTTTGATGATTGATGCTCTAACTATTGCTTTTTTTCTATCTGTGCATTTTTTACTTGACCCCTGGAAAATCTTTTATTCTCAAAGAAGAAATTGTTCACCATGACCGTGTTTGCGAAAGTTACATTTAACACTCGAAATACTGCTACACGAATATCTTTTTAAATACCTTTTTAAATATCTTTTTAAACCTATTTTCAGCCCTCTTTTTGGTGTTTAAAATGTGATTTATCAATTTTTTTCTCGTCTTGTTAAAATTCCAAGGTCTTCTTTAGAGCTTTTGCCTATCTTTGGTATAGTGAAAAGGTGTACATGTAAGACCCGTTCCATCGACGCAAGTTTCCTGCGCCTAGAGCAAAATCAAAACTTCTCTAGAGCTAATTTTTTCCATATTTTTTTGATCATAAATTCATAGTTTTTTCCTGTACAATTGCGATGCGATGCGATGCGATGTAATTGTCAAATGAAAAAGTTATTTTACTACTCTGTTCTGTCAAAGTTTCATCAGTTTCATGTTGAAATCTTGAAAAGTTTATTTTCTTTTGTTATATCTGCGTGTTACTAAAAAGAACGAACACTGCCCTCGGTTAGCAACAGCTTGTCGACAGCTAGTCGAGGCAGCAGTAGTGACACTTTTAATAAAAGAAAGCTCACTAACAAGAGTAAAGGAAAAAATGAAGTATACAAGTTTATTTACAAAACGACAGTCATGTATAATTATTGGAAAAGAAAAATGCAGGCTTAAGATGCTGAGTTTTCAAGAGATAGCAACGGTAAATAAATGGCTGTGCACATTTAAAGGCCAAAGGAATTCTTAATAAGAAGTATAATTCCTCTAAATAAACGGCCTTCCTGAGCTTGACGCATTGTTGCACGAAACCAGCCCAGATCGTGACTGGTTAGGACCTAAATATACTCAAAATGTTTTTTACTTTTCTAATTTAAGACTAGAATGTGGTTGGTGGTTGTGTTATTTTTGTTAAAATCCGGCGTTTTTGCCTTATCGCATGTTCTACAAGAGAAATCCGCTGCGAGCTTAGTGGGCGTGATAAAACGATTAACTCAGTTCTGAAAATGTTGATAAATCAAGGGTCAAGAGGATTTTTTGTCAAGTTTATCTTCTCAATTGCATGGTCAAGCATGAAATTGCGTGTTTGATTAGCATGTCTAGCAAAGAAGGCGAGGTCTCCCTTTCTTATCATTACTATAATCATTTGAGTGACTTGTTTAAGTGGCTTAACCCGATCAAATCCACGTTTACCATGACAGACACTTAGGTGTTGAGAGCGTTTTCTGCG